AGTCTGTATAAAGTAGAATTAGAACAGAATCAGAAGAGCCCAGCACATCTTAGATCTGAGTATGCCTGGTTAGCACAAGTGTGTATTTGTTTAGCACTGCACTATGACAGAACTCCCCAGGGAGCAGATGTTATCAATCTGGAATTAATTGACTACAGCAGGGATCTTTCCAGCCCTGTAACCCCCAAGTTAATTAGATTTCCCCTGCATATGCAGTAATAAACCAACTTACGTGTACTGGCCAATTTTCTTCTACAGGATAAAAGGTTAAAACCTCATCAAGGAAATCAGTGTAATAATCTATCAATTTTTTTTTTTTTTAATATCTAGGCTTTATGTGTGGCACATCAGTGCTGGATAAAGATGGTGTAAGTGCTGCTGTGGTCATTGCTGAAATGGCAACGTACCTGGAGAGCCAGAACCTCACACTGGCACAGAAACTCCTTGAGATATATGAAATGTGAGTTGTATTCTTCATTAGTATATTCTACTTAACTCTTTTAGAGCTGGGAATAATCCAATAAATATTTTTAATGCGTCCTCTGGATGTTTTCTCATTGTAAGTTGGTTTTCTTGATGTATTATGGATTACAGTCCATCGCTAGTGTAGATCACTGTACCTAAAGGGGCTCCAAGAGAGCTGGAGAGGGACTTTGGATGAGGGATGGAGGGACAGGACAAGGGGGAATGGCTTCCCACTGCCAGAGAGCAGGGTTAGATGGGATTTTGGGAAGCAATCCTCCCCTGGGGAGGCCCTGGCACAGGTTGCCCAGAGGAGCTGTGGCTGCCCCATCTCTGGAAGTGTCCAAGGCTGGGTTGGAGCCACCTGGGATAGTGGAAGGTGTCCCAGCAATAAAACAAGGATCCTGTATGTCAGAATTAAGCCATGTACTGAGACAAGCCCAGATCATCAGCAGAAATTCCTGGGCTTTAACAGAACTGGCAGCACAGAGCAATACCATGGATGTCATTCCCCTTCCTGCCAGCCCAGCAGCAAGACACTGAGGCCTTTGGAAACCTGGAATGAGGAAGCACAAAGGATAATCAGCTTTTATCTCTCCATGGTACTCAGGATTTTGCTCTGTCCTGTGCAAACTGTAGCCAGAGCGACTCTGCACAGGTGGATCAAAATGGCAGGGATAACAGCAGGATTCATCTCCCAGTCACACCTGGCTTTTAAGCTGCAGAGAAGGGTCTCTGTAGAAGTAGCAGTGGGTGAAATATGGTGAAGAATAACCTAAATTTCAGTGTGTGGTTGTTGCTAGTGAGCACAAGGTCTGATTTGGGATGGTGGTTTTGACTTGGATGGAATAATCAGCCACCTTCCTTGTTGTGGCTGCCCCCTGGCTCTGGTAGTCAGTTTTTGTTTGGGGGAATGACACTGGGCATCCATTTTTCAAGGGCCACCAAGGCTGCCCTTACCCAAATGGTTGGCTTTTACATCTTTGGGGGCCGAAAACTTCGCACGAATTTAAAAATAGCTCAAGATGATCTGAGTAATGCAGCAAAATCTGCTTCAGAGTCCAAATGTTTGCCTATAAATACCTGTTCCCACAGCTCTGGGAACTCAGTTCTTTCTCTGTCGCTGCTTTTCCAACCAGGGGCTTTCTTTGGATGCCAAATGTGCCAAAGAACTTCTGCATCTCGTAGCTGAAAGTGTTCATCTGCTTGCAGGTATGGATATCACATATCCAAGACCTCCTATTTCTTGTGCTACGACCCTCCTACGATCAAAAGGATATTTGAGAGGCTTCGCAACTTCGACGGCCCTCAGTCCTATCCCAAATGTTGTGGGGTTTACAACGTGTTACACGTCAGAGATGTCACCACTGGCTACGACAGCAGCCAGCTGAACAAGAAATCGGTGAGTTGCAGAGTGTTTTTTTTGCCCAGCAGGGTCTGATTTTGAGGGAAGGTAAAGGGTAAATAGCAACGTGAACGAGGCAGGGATGCCCTGTGCCAACTGGGATGGCAGAATAATTCCATCATCAGGCTGCTTAACATCACTCAGTGGGGGAGAAAACAGCTTGAAGGTGAAATGCGTTGACTGTTGTGATAACAGCAGTGAATGAACTTGGTTAATTAATTGAGCCTGATGCTCCTGCAGCTCTTCAGCTCAGATATTGGGGTTCCAGTGGGAGTGAAGGAGCTTGTTGTTGTTGTTTTTGCAGGTGCTGCCAGTGAGCAAAAGCAGTCAGATGATCACCTTCACCTTCCAGAACGGTTGTGTTGCCACCCTTCGGACCAGTGGGACGGAGCCCAAGATCAAATACTACGCCGAGATGTGTGCCCTGCCCGAGCAGAGGTCAGCAAAACCAAGCCTCAGCTGACTTCTAACCACTTTTCACTGTAGTGGATAAGAAAAAAAAAACACCTGAATTTTCAGCGTCTGCTACAGCAGGCTTTAGTTAATCCAGTTCCTCATTTACTTAGAATTAAGAAGTGATGAAGTTACAGAATCACAGAATAAATTAGGGTTGGAAAAGACCTCTGGGAGTGAATCCAACCTTTGACATTGTCACCCATGAGTGCCATGTCCAGTTTCTTCTTTTTCTAAAGATACGGTGTTGCTGGCAAAGGTTCTTAAAGCCACTTGGTTTTCCATTTCCTCTGGGAATCTGTTGGGAGCTGCTGGATAAATAACTGGAGATCAATCCTCTTTTGGCAGTCACCTGGATTGAGCTGCCTCCAGTGTAAAAGGCAGGTGGGGAAAAACATCCAGGGTATATTTATACCACTGAAATCTGGAGTGAAAATTAGGAGCTGAGGTTCAGTCGAGATAGTGGGGAGAAGCTTTTGGATTGGATCCCCAACATGAGTTACACAATTCCTCATTTTTAGACTTGTATTCCAACAGTTCTGTGGGGCAGAGGATTGTAAACAACATAAAGGAGGCTTGGTTTGGTGTTTATTTCTATTTATTGGTGGGAATTTAGGGTGAGCACGTTTTCCTCACTGAATATTTGGTCACATTTAGGTGGCCCGTGGATAGGGAGGGGTAGATGGCGAAGAGGGCTTCTCCACCTTTTTATTGCTGTGTTCATTAAAACTAATTAAAGAGGAAAAATAAGGGCCACTAGAGGGCTCTGAGCACCATCTTTAAATGTCCTGTCCAATCCAAATCAGTCTGATTCCATGCTAATCCTTCTCAGAAAGGAGCCAGTTGGGAGTCTCTACCTGTTTATGCTGGTATAAAAAAACAGCGCAGAGCAAATCCGTCCCCCATCAGGTCTTGCCGATTATTTATTTACTTTTAAACAGCTTCTTGGTGTGTTTCCCAAAGCTCTGACGTGGTGGCCTTGTCCTTTTTTTTTTTCCAGTGACAGGAGCATGCTGGAAGAAGAACTCCAGAAGCTGATCGGGGCTCTGATCGAGAACTTCCTGGAGCCGGACAAGAACGGGCTGACCTGGCGCTCGGCTTAGACCCCATCCCTGGCATTCCCAGGAGCCTCCAGGGGGAACAAAGGGCCCAAGAAAAGGATCAGTTCCAAATGTCTGTGTGTGTCTGTGTTTTTGTTCCCTGAAGAAGCAGCGTTCTTTTGTCAGGCTCTTCACCAAAGTCCGGGCTTGGAAAAAAAAAAGGGGGAGAGCAAGTTGGAGAAAACAGCAGAGTTAATTGTTAGAGTTTTCCATCCTCTTGACCAAAAGGTTAATTAACCCACACCAGTGCAAATGAACTGCCCTGATATGTTTAAGGCAGGTGGTCTTAGCCACGGGATCTTGTCTTTAAACTTGCTCCAGGTACTTAAAATACATTTTTTTTTTCTTCATGTGAAAAGCTTTGAAAGTCAGGTAGGGATGATTGCCCCAGACTGGCAAAAGTCCTGCTTCTTCCTCTCGGCTCTGTGTGACCCTCAGAAATGGGTCTGTGCTTCCAAAAACCGTGGAAGTAGAGCTCAACAGTTCTTGTTCAGGCCAATTGTTGACGTTTTTCAGCTGCTTAATTTGGTGAAGGTGTTCTTGGTGCATTTCCTGTGTCTGTCTTTAAAAAAAAGAAAAACAACTTGGCAGTGAAGCAATAGTGACAACACCTGCAGTTCTGCTTTGGGGTTGGAATTGTGTAGTGCCTTTCCAAGGCTTCCAGAGGAGAAGGGATTGGTCATTACTTGGTTAAATTGCCCATTCTGACTGTCATAGGCCTTGTAGCTCTTTTTTTTTTGTCCCACCTTCCTCAAAGGGTCTTAAGCTTTTTTTTGTGTTTTCTCTGTTCGGGAAGTTTTTCTATGCCAGTCAGTGACTTTTTGGTTTTTTTCTAACCTGAATTTATTTATATTGTTTAAAAAAAAAAAAAAGTGGAGGTGAGACACTGACACAGTTACTGAGTCATGATTTTTATTATTTTTTTATTTTGTCATGTCTTGTCAGCTAATTTCTATTTGAGTAGCACTTTTGTAAATACTATTATTCTTTATCTTTCAGGGCAAATATTTGACAGCTTCTCATTATCTGTTTTCTGAGTAGAAAGTGATACAGCTAATCACATTTCAAAAAAGAAAAAAGGCCGTGGCACAAGTTCTCCTGTAGAGGTTGTGGTGTTTCAGATGATCGAAGCCACACTTTGGCACAGCAGAGCTGGTTCTGGGCCTCTCTCCCTGTTATCACTGACAGGAAATAAATAAAAAAATAGGTAAAACCCGGCACTGAATTGTTATAAGTTGATGTGAGAAGAACCCAAAATGCACTTCAGTTTGAGCTGTTGTTTGCCACTAATGGTAACTCCCCAGATTTGTCCTCCATCTGATTTTTACCCCTCCAGCTGGATGGCACAGGGTTGGGTCTGTGTGTGTTGCCTCTCCATGGCTTTAAAGAGCCCCTCGGTTTGGGGTTTTTCCTGCACTATGTCCGTGGAGAAGGTATTTTGGTGTATATGAATGTACATGTGCCACAGAAGGTCTGTGCTGCACAAAATCCTGACCTGTCACTATTTATTTATTGTTTTTTGTTTGTTTGTTTTAAGAGAAAGTATCTCCAAATTGTTCTGCCGTTTAATCAAGTGTATCTAATGCCAAAAAACTGCCGTTTGTTTGTTTGGGTTTTTTTTTAATTATACATTTGATTGATGGGAGGGGGGAATAGGTAAATCAGAGTATGCTTATGTTGTTGTCTAGTCCTAGGTAGGTCTGGAAGGCGTGAAGGCACTTCTGATGCTGCTTTGCCTTCAGTTTTCCCAAAAAAAAGTGCAGATCTGCACCAAGTTTGAAGGAGCTCTTGCCATTCCTGCCTTTGGCGGCAGATTAAACCCTGAAGCGTTGAGGATTTCGTTCTCCTGGTGGTACAAAGGAGAACACAGGCTGTAAAAAGCATAATGTGTGTGTGTGCTGTGTGTTATTGTAGCAGTTCTGTCTTGTGAGTGATGTTTGTGCTCCTGCAAAGAGCAGGAATCTGCCACTTCCCAGAGAACTGCTTTGGCTTGGTAGCCAAGTGTTACAAATGAAGAAAATCTGGGTTTTTGAACAAGCATAGAAGTTGGTATAACTGTTCATAGTCTAAATATCTCTAATTAAACGAGAAAAGCCCAGATGTGGGTGTTGTGTACCTGGGATTTTTTTCCTGTGGATGGGTCTGGCAGTGAGTTGTTGTAGCTGTTAGTGATGCTTTTGGGATGAACAGCAACAGGCACAACGTGTTGAATGTACTTTTAAGGGTAGAATAGCCATTTGCTCTTTTGAAACTGCTGCTACTGTTGTTCTCCTGCTGTATTGGAACTGTTGGATATATTTATACTGTTCCATTTGTGGAACTCCTTTATCTCCTTCTGATCTCGCATCCCTTACCTCTGTTACTGTGAAGGACTGGAATTCTCCTGTTTCCCTGCTCTGTAACTTTGTTATGCACCGTGTTAGGGTTCATCTGGCTCCTGCACAACCTTCTTTCAGTTGTATAGCTGGTGTTATTTTTATTTTTCATACTTCTCAGATAAGAACAAAGGCTTTTCTGACCCGAGCAGGGAGCAGGTCACAGATCAAAGGACGCCCTGGGTGTTGTTCACGAGGTGCTTCCAGGCAAAAAAACACCTTTTGAAAGGTTGGACCCTGACTTAAACTGCAGTCACAGGGCCAGTGAGTTGGGTTTAGTGTTGGATAAAACCCAGAGGGCTTGGTTTTGTATTTTCCTTTCTGATGTGACAGGTTTAATCTCTGTGGCAAAGCTGTTTTCCTGGGTCTGGCACAGGAACTTTCCAGGTTCAGGGGACTTGCCAGGCAAGGCTCAGTGTCAGTGAGGAACAGCTGGTAGGTGGATTTCTTATTCTAGTTGTGAAACAGCACCCAGTGTGTGGCTTAAAGAGTTCCAAGGGCTGCCTGTGTCTCTCCTGCATTTCTTGAGGAGGATTCCTGCCAGGCTGTGAGGGAATCACAAGCTCTGGCATGGGAGAGAAGGAGGGAATGTGTTTAACAGGAAAAGATGAGCTGGAAACCTCCAGCACCAGTCTGGCTGTGGCCCTAAGGAGCAGAGGAGCTCCCACCTGGTGTTGGGGTGCTGAGCCAGGTCTGCTTCCCTTGTGTTCCCAGCAGGATGTGACTCAGAGGGGCTGGCATTCCCCTGGGAGAACTGGGATCTGGCCTGAGGAGCTGCTCATGTCCCTCATTTAAATATCCAGCTCTTCCTTCTGGTGCACTTGTGTTGTGCACAGGGTAAGAGAAGTGAAACTCTGTGTTTGAGGTCGAGGTGAGCTGCCCGTGCTCTGCCTGGGGCTCCCTGCCCTCCCCTGACTGATCCTAAAGCTCTTGCTGTCCCAGATCGGTGGGTTTACCTGCATGTTGACATTCCTGGTGTCATTCCCTGGTTTATCTGTGCTCAGCTAGCACTTTGAGTGCCCCCTCTGCCAGGCTCCTGAAGGATTAGGGATTTCAGCTCCTGTTAGAAGTGTGTTTGTGTGGAATTCTGGAAACGCTGATGGAGAAGCCACAGGGTGGAGTGAGGCAGATGGAATGTTTGTGCTGCTTTGGGAAGCGCTTGGATGTTCCCTTTAACTTCAAAACTAGTATTGTTACCACTTTATTTTGTCTTTCCCCCCCACTCTTTGTCCTCTCCTCTCCCTGACTGAGAGGGGGATCTCTGCATGGTGACACCTGGGTGGTTCCAGCCCAGCTTGACTCCCAGAACATTTGCCACCCCCCCTGCTCAAGAGTAGCTCTGTTCAAGGTGACTGAAGTATCTGAAGCTGAATTGTTTCCCTTGCCTGGAGTCTTGGATCTGTGTTCCTGTTAAGCCAGTGTCTGTTCTGTAAAACTTGGACAATATTACGAAATACAGAGTGAGAATTTGCACTTTTTTTCTGAGGAGTTTCTGTGTATTGCTATGTGGATTTAGCTGAATGAAGTGTTATAAACAATAAAATATTCCCTTTGTAGCTGCAATCCTTCCTGTTTCTTCCATGTTCTTCAGCCAAGCACCGTTGCCCCAAAAGCTGAGCTGGAGGAACATCCATGTGCCACTTAGAGAGCTAAAGAATATTTTTTTAAAGGTGAAGTTGCTTCAGGAAAAGGCAGCAGCTTGGAAGGGAGCTGGCAAAGGGATAGGAGAAGGTCTCTTTGTGAGGGGGAAAAGGGGATGGGGAGAGCAGGACTATCCAGGGGTGGGACTGGCCCCAAAAGGATTTTGGTTCCGCATCCTGGAACCCCACCAGGGGAACTGGGCAATTGGAGAGGGACCTGTCCAGTTCCATCCCTTGCCATGGGCTTCTTCCACTATCCCAGGTTGCTCCAATGTGGCCCTGGACACTTCCAGGGATCCAGGGGCAGCCACAGCTGCTCTGGGCAACCTGTGCCAGGGCCTGCCCACCCTCATAGCCAACAATTCCTTCCCAATATCCCACCTATCCCTGCCCTCTGGCAGTGGGAAGCCATTCCCCCTTGTCCTGTCCCTCCATCCCTTGTTCAGAGTCCCTCTCCAGCTTTCTTGGAGCCCCTTTAGGGCACTGGAAGGTGCTAGAAGCTCTCCCCAGCTTGGCTTTAGTGTTTCAAGGTTAAAGCACCCTGGAGGTTGATGGAGGGTGGTTCCTGAGGGCACAGCAGCACATCCTGGAGGGTTCTTGCATCCCTTCAGTGATGGGCACAGGCTTCTTCCTGCTCTCAGTGGTAGGTTTATCTCCTTTGTGAGGCTCTTCTTGGAGCCCTTCTCCTCCCAGCTCCCCGGAATTGCCAAATTACCACCCCTTGTCCTGTGCTGGGCAGTGCAGCAGATGGTGCTGTCCAGGGAGACACTTAACCCTCCCCATTCTGAGGGTTTGGGAAGCCAGGAAACAGGGGAGGGACGTGGAGATGGACAGGTTGGTTTGGGCTGGGGGGGAGCAGGGCAGGGGGTGGGGGACACAGGGACCTGGCTGAGGCTCCACCAGGCTGTAGTTGCACGATCTGGCACTGGATGTCACCGCCTGCTGAACATGGACACTTCTCCCAGGAACAGCATGACTGGGCTGGTGCAGCCTCCTCAGGGCTTGTGTGAGCAGTCTGGGGGACCTGAAGGTTCCAGGGTGTCTCCCTCTGTGCTGCTGGCACAGTACCAGGACCTGGGGGCATCAGCCTGGCAGCACCGGGGCCACTGGAAGCTCCTGGGTGCTGGCAGGCAGGAGTGCCTGGCATCACATTTAGGTCTTGTCGATTTGAGTGTTAATTTAGTAACTAAGTTAATTAATGAGCTCCTAATTAACGTGCCAAGCCCAGCCTGTGAGGGCTGTCCCTTGGGCTCGGCTCCCTGGGGGCTCGTGGATTGCTCCTGGGGGGCTCCACCTTGCCAGGGGAGAGTGGGGATGGTGCCCTGGGTGCTGGGCTGGTGGTGGGGTCAGGGCAGCAAGAAGGGAGGAAAGTTGGTTGCCTCCTCTTGGGGTGTTATTTGGGGAAGGTAAGGAATGGTTTCTGTGTGCATGAAGCTCCTGAAGTCCCATCAGAGGGTTTGGGGTTGGAGTGGGACCAACCTCCCCCAAAAACTGGTCCCTGGAGTCGATGGGAGGCTCTCAACTCCACTATTTTCCAAAAGGAAACTGAGGCACAGAGGGAGGGAGAAACAGGGGCTCAGGTATCCATCCTGCCTGTGCAGAGCAGGATCTCCGAGCCACCTGAACAATTAAAAGGGATGAAGACCATCTAAAAATAGGGGATTTGTAAATGTCAGGCTGGCAAGGGGCTGGGAAACGTGCTGGGAGGATGGAGCAGCTCCGCAGGACTGGCTGTGCTGGTGTGTCCTTATCCAGGAGCAGGGACCAACACTGATCTGCTCTGGGTTGATCCTGCTGCCCCTGGCTCCCTGAGACATCCCCAAACCCCAGGAACTGCCTGTCGTGGATCATCCTGGACATGCAGCACCGGAGGAATTTTCTCTGTTGTTTTATCCCAGTGGAAGCTGCAGAAGATCCCAGCTCTGCTTGGGATGGGAGGTGGGGAGGGGTGACACCAGGCCCCTCAGGGTCAATTATTTTTTCAGTGGGTTTTCATAGGAGAAAACCTCAGTGAAGACCCTGCTCTCAGAAGCACCCCAGGATGATCCCCAGCCTCAGGAATTGGGTGATGTGCTACCAAAACCACCCCAGAGATGTTCTGGTCCCCCCTCTCCATGCAGATGAGGGCACAGGGGGCACCCCTCCCTCACCTCCACCCCCACAGCTTCTCTGCCATGCCCGGAACCCCACCTGTCCCCGACGTGCCAAAATCTTGTATAAAACAGCTGGGAAAGCGAGTTTATTTGGGGAAAATAATCCAGATCGGGGCAGATTAGTGGAAGCACGTCCTTCCCCATCTGCCTGGCCGGTGCTGTGCCAGCTCCCTCGGGGTCTGCCCTGAGCCAGGCTTGGGAAATCACCCAGCTCTGCTCCTGCTGGGGGCTTTGACCTGCTTCCCTGGCCCAGCTGAATGTCCCCAGCCCCTCTCCCTCAGGAGAAGTCCTCAGATCCCTGGTTTGTCCCTTTGTCACCTCCAGCCCCCCTCCCTGCTGCCAGGGGCGGGTCAGTGCTGAGCAAGGAGCTTCTGTCCCCCAGAATTATCCCAACCTGGCTAATTAGGAGCATCCACAGGTACTAGGGGGGATCCTAAATAATCCTAATTTCTTTGGCAGGGCGCAGGAGCCACCTCTGAGCCGGAAGAAGGACAAACAGAGCGGGGATTGTCCTGGGCTTGGAGGTTCCCAAAGCTGCCCCGAGTTTTAAGTGAGCCCTGCTGAGGTCTGAAATGCATTTTGGTGGGTTTTTCTTTTCTTTCCCAAACCCTTTCCTGCTTTGTTCAATGCTTCAGTTTCCCCAAGGCATGAGGCTAACACCTCCCTTTTGCTCTTCCTAGAGGAAAAAATGAGAAGCAGAGGGGTATTTTTCCTCCCTCTGTAGGTTTGGGTTAATCTCTGATAACAGAGGAGGAAGGTGAGGGTGAAGGAGCTCTGGTGAGAAGCTTCTCAGGGGTGAAGCTGCCTGGGGAGAATTAAATATTATTAATTCTGTGTATTTTTGTCAGGAGGAGGCAGCTGCTGGTTGATTTCCTTCCCTGCCCCTGGGTAGGAGCATCACAACCCCACACCCAGTGGGGATGAGGGTGATACTCCAGCTCCGTTATTTCCCCCGGATAAATCCAGCTGCAACCCACACTGGGAGTTTTGGCCTCTTCTGCACTAAATGAGACCACCCTCAGCCTCTTTCCTCCAGCTCTGGCACCGTGGAGCAACTTGGAACCCACCTGGGATGTCTGTGTGGGCAGAGGGGGTGCAGGGCAGGGTGGGGGTCCTGGCACAGCTCTGGCTCCATCCACATCTACCTCCTTGCCTGCCTCTTGGCTGGATCAGCCCAGGGAACCTCTGAGCTCTTTGGAAAATGAGGAAGGAAGAGCAGATCTGAAAGCCCGCTCTGGGCTGCAGAGTCCTGGTGGCATCTCACAGGCAGGGCTAATTAATAGACATTTTTGGGCTTTCCCCCCCCCCTCCTCTTTTTCAGGGATGAGCTACTCCAGGAGGCTCTGAGCATCCTTTGCTTGATTCCCACCACAGATGCTGTTTACATCCTGAAATTCATCTGGTTTCAGGAGCTCTTGGGGTAACTTTCCACTCAGGCAGCTGCCCTGGGCTTGGGACGCTGGGAGGTCCATGTTCCCCTTCGTGGAGAGGGGACTGCATGCAAACAGCTGGGATTCTCCAAACACAGGGCTGTCTCTAGGAGCCCAAAAAGCACATTCTGTCTCAGCTCGGTGACAATTCGCTAATCCCGAGGTTCCCTAATGCGTGGGGTCTGTGCTGCACAGAGCAGTGTTGATGTTAACAAGCCACAGGAATTAACGCTCCCGCAGCTGGTTATCCAACCCCATCCCCAGGGCTTTGCCTCCCTGGAGGGGGTCAGTGCACACACACATAGGGTGTTCTGCACCTACTCTGGATGGGGAGGATGTTCCCAACCTCCTGCTGCTCGGAGCCAAAAGGAGAAGCAGCCTCATCCCTGGGGACTGAAAGCCACCACATCCCTCCCTCCAGCCTCAGGAAAAGCTGGAGCCCACCGTTTAATCAAAGGACTTTGAGGCCAGGATGTGTTTGGCCACTTTTCCTATGTCCTGGAGGTGATTTCTTTCCTGTTATTGATCCCAGGCTCTGCTGTTCCTTGATCCAACAACCACCCCTCTGCCTGAAGAGCTCTCCAGGCTTCTCCCTGCAAGATGTTAAATCTTCCAGCTCCATCCCCACAACCTGCTGTCCCTCTGGACTCACAACCCAAGCCTCTGCCACATGTGCAAATCCACCCTTTTTATTTTTTTTTTTTTGGCTCAGGGGCTGCATTTTGGTTGCACAGACATAGGGAGTGGAGGGAGGAAGCGGGAAAGTGGATGAAGGTGAAGGGCAGGCTGAGATTTCTCCCTCATTGCATGAGGTGGCAAAGTGGGACCAGAGCCCACCAGCCCCTACGAGGTGGAGGAAACCTCAGGAAAAGGTCCCCAAAATACAAGTTTCTCAGATAAGCTGAGAGCCAGGGGGGGTCTCAGGGTTTATCAGGATCCAGGTCTGGTCGGGAGCCAGCTCCCTGCGCAGCAGGACCAGCCCAAAGCACCCAGGAAATTTATTCTGATGCCCAGTGCTACATCCCTTCTAGGATCCAGGCTCTATTCCACCTCAACACTGGGATTTCAAGGGGAGGAAGTTCAAGCAGGAACAATGCAAAAAGGGAAGGAGCAAAGCGACAAAATGCAAAGGATCCTGCACCAGAAACACCTTCCAGGGGTCTGTGGGATGGAAATAACTGTGTTTTCCTCCAGCAGAGCTTTCCATCCAGAAGCTGAGTCCACACACGGTCTCAGGGACCACAATTCCTCCAAAACTCTTCCTTACTAACCCAGCACAGTGCGTACCAGCTGCTCCTGAGGATCCCAAAACCCCTGGCAAACGGCTTGCCTTTATCACCTTCCCCCTTCTGGAGAAAGGCAAACACAGGTGGATCAAAATGCAAAATGCTTCAGTTTTCATCCTGGCACTGGAATTCAGAGTTTTAAGATGCCACACTGCAAAAGCTCCCTTTTGGGAAACGCTGGGAGCCGCAGCCCTGCATCTGTGGATGTCTCATGGATTAGATGCCCAACCACCAGGGAGATAAGAACTACTTTAGAAAACTATTTCCCGGGCACTTTTCCTGAGCCCCAGGGAAGGATTAGGACCGAGCAGAGCCTGAGATCTGTGCACAAGCCACACAAAACCTCTCTGAAATCCCTGGCCACCAAAACAGCCCCGGAAAAGAAGTTTTTAAGCAGTAACAAAACCACGGAGGAGCCCAGAGCTGCCTTCCTCTGGCAAACCAGCCACAATAAAAGCTTCGGGGTTATTCAGAAATCATTGCAAGGAGCTCTACAGAAAATAGACGATGGAGTGGGTGCAGCTTTCAGTATATTTGCTCTAGGATATAGTAACAGGCACTAAAGCAAACACGGGCGGGGGAATTAGGACGGGAGCTTCTGCTCCGCTCGTTTTAAATTACAAAGTGCCGAGACAGCCGAGTCTACGATAGATTTCAGAGTCAGAAAAGTGCCCCGGGGAACATGCACGCAGCAGACGGAGGCGTTTCCTACGCGGCTGCATCGTTTTGTGCCTGGAACGACCTGGAAATGTCATGGAACGAAACTAAATGGATAGAAGGGGCTCGGCAAAGCACGTCGCTTCGCGGGCGGCGGGGGGCGGCTGGACGGTGTGTGCTTTCCTCTTTGGAGAGAAAGAGGAAAAAAAAAAAATAAAAAGAAGAAATCGAGTTGAACTTTGCATCTGTCAAATAGAAATCTAATAGGAAAGAGAGCTGTACATGGTCAAAGTCAAGTCCAGGCTCCAGGAACATCCAGGAGGACAGTTTCGGGTGTCACCTGGACGCTCCAAAGAAACGCTCGGGTGCGCGCGGTGCCGATTCCCGCCGGCATCCTGGAATCTCCCGCCGCCGGACAGCAGGTGTGGGAAGGGGCTCCGAATCTTCCCCGGGAGCACCGGGGCCTTGCGGCGCGCCAGCACCCCGCGGGGCCCATCCCAGTGTGCTTCCCCTGCCCGCGGGCACAGGGATGGGGAGGGAAGGGGGGGGATGGTTCCAGCCCGGTCCCCTGCGGGAATCAGCGCTGCGGTGGTGGGCACGGGCATGGAGAGCCCCGCAGGGAGGGTCACCCCGCTCTGCACCCGCTCCCGGCTCGTCCTCAGAGACTAATTTTCGGGGGTGCCACGGCGAGGGGCTGGCGCGAGGTGTGGATGTCGGGAGCGGAGAGGCGTCGAGGGGCACGGCGGGTGATGCCGAGGGCACCGTCAGAGGCCGGGGGTGCCCACGGCGCTGGCGCAGCGCGGGTCGGCGTCCTGCTCGTAGCGGTAGTGGTACCCCTCCATCTGGTCGCGGCAAGCCTCGCGCAGGTTGTGGAGCCAGCGCTTGATGCCGCGGCGGTTCAGGTAGAGCACCATGAGGAAGACGATGCCGATGAGCGCCAGGACGATGCCGAAGAAGACGTAGGAGGCCGTCTCCAGCTGGCCGGGCTCGCCGCCCTCGCTGGCCGCGCACACCAGCCCCTCGGGCCGCAGGCGGAGCAGCGCGGCCCCGCGCAGGGCCGGGGGTCCCGCGCAGCGCAGGCTGCGGGCGTCGAGCACCCGGGAGCCCGCGGAGCGCAGCCAGGCCAGGAAGGGCCGCAGGGCACAGTCGCAGCTCAGCGGGTTGGCCCCCAGGTTGAGCCGCAGCCCCCGCAGCTCCGGCGCCTCCAGGCTGCGGAGCTCGGCGGCC